CTGGTGAAACATGAGAACAGGATTGTTCAGGATCTCTCCCAGGGCGAATCAAGCTGGTGCCTCCTGGTGAGTAACCAGTGGCATGGACAACTGTGCCAGTAACCCCACCCAACATAGTTCTTCCCTTAATTCTAATAATAATCACTGGCCTTTATAGAACATGCAAAAGACTCAGAGAACAACCAGCACACCAACCACTCAGTCTTGGAAGGATGGGGTTAAGGATTAAAAGGCAACGTAAAAGTATCTCAGACGTACTCGGAGAGCCTTCCCAAACCTTGGGCCTTCCAGAAGCGCTGGAATACATTGCACATCATGCCTAGCCGAAGTATCACCCATGCTGCTGGCTGGAGATGATGGGCCTTGCAGTGCAGCCCATCTGCAGGGAACCAGGTCTGAGAAAGTCTGAAGTACTTTAGCGATGCACAACCCTATTTATAAAAGCCATCCTAAGCAAGAGAACCCTTGCGACAGTGAAATTCGGTACTTCATTAGAGATTGTATGACGAATGGCTTTCCTTATATTCGTCTGTCTTGAATCTAGTCCTCGTCAGTTTAATGGGATGACCAAAGTTCTCTAAAGGGGGAGTGAGAAATAACTCCCTCTCTGTCCATCGTTCCTTTTTATAACCTTCACAGTCACGTTGCTCTTGAGTTTTTCTCTCTCTCCACAGTGGACCTTATTTTGCCCCCCCCAAAGACTCACAGCACCATGATTTTCCCTCTTTCATAGAGAAATTCTCCCTACAAATAGGGACAGACTACCTCCCCCCCGCGCCCCCTCTCCTGTCGTCTTGTGATCACAGAAGGAAAACATACGGCGAAGTCCCCATGCATAACGACATCATATTTGGCTGCCTTACCTGGGATCTAATTAGGATCCCAGCAAGACTCCTTCTGGCTCTTCTTTCTTCTACATCGGCCAGAAGCATCTGCCCCATTTCACTGACAGAGACTGAAAGCTCCCAGACTCTTGAAGGAAGGAACGCGCTCCTTCCTGAACAGCACACCAACTCTCGAATTTTTGTGCTGAATAAAGAGAGATAATGAAGGAGGTCGACTTTCTGTACGGCTTTTCTCCTTCAACTGTCACCCGACGGGTTGGACAAAAGCGATCCATCCTTGCTCAGATGGCAACTGCAAGAATCTCAGCTAAGCCACCCCCAAGCATGTCAAATCGGTGCAAGCGTTCGAGATGTCCTGACCTTTTAGGCAAAATGCTACACAGGATGAATGTGTGTGAGAGAGACGTTATCTTCTTAAGATGTAGTAGCCAGGAAGGGCCAGCAGAGTTTCAAACTGGCTTCGTTGGGCATCTTCGCCCTAAATGACCTCAGAGTGCATCTGAAAACAGGAGTTTTACTGGAGCAGAGCAACTGGGGCTGAGCCCCAGGAGGGCAAAATTTAGACAGGCCTGAAATCTAGAGGTGACTACATAAGGACCCCCATATCTGTGGGGGATGGGTTCCGAGCCTCCCCTCCCCACAGATGCTGAAAAATGTAAATTATAGTGAAGGCTTTTTCAGGATCATTATACATAGCATGGTCTCTGGCTCCCTCTAGTGGCCAGTTCTGGTAGCTTCACCTTTAAATATATTTATTTCTAGGATTTTTGTTTTAATATTTTCAATATTTTCAAACTGAGGATAAGTGAATCAATGGATACTGATTCCGTGGATACAAGGGTTCTACTGTGTTAGGAAATAAGGGGTAACCTCTCCCAGCCCTATTCACTCCCTCTCCTTTTTAGAAGGATACTCTCACTCTCTCTCTCTCAACCTCTCTCTCTCTCTCTCTCTTTTAAGAGGGCACCACATTCTCCTCTTCCTTGGGGTGGGGAAGTGCAGTGAGCTGGAGATGGGGCCTATATGCTCAGGGTGCCAAAGTTATGATTATGGCGCTGACTGGAAATAGGGCCAGCCTAATAGGTGAAGCAGAAAAACCGAAAGAGAGCCCTTTCCCGTTCATTGCCGCATCATCCTCAGCCAGCCCTTAGGTTTAGCTCCATCACCCCACTTTTCAAATACTTCATAGCACTCTTCAAATCCTTGAAAGGTAGTCCTACAGAGGAGAGGCAGGATCTGTTCTCAATCGTCCGATATGTAACAATGAGCTCAAGGTACAGGAAGCCAGATTTAGGCTGAACCTGACACAACTCCGGGAGGCAGTAGAAGACAGGAGGGCCTGGCGTGCTTTGGTCCATGGGGTCACGAAGAGTCGGACAGGACTTAACGACTAAACACACACACACAATACTCTTCAAATCCTTGAAAGGTAGTCCTACAGAGGAGGGGCAGGATCTGTTCTCAATCGTCCGATATGTAACAATGAGCTCAAGGTACAGGAAGCCAGATTTAGGCTGAATATCTGGAAAAACTTCTTAACTGTTAGAGCAGTACGACACTGGAATCAATGACCTTGGGAGGTGGTGAATGCTCCAACACTGCAGGCATTCAAGAGAAAATTGGACAACTCTCTGTCAGATCTGCTTTGATTTGGGTGCCTGTCTTGAGCCGGGGATTGGACTCGATGGCCTTTGAGGCCCCCTCCAGCTCCATCATCCTTTGATTCTATCATCCCACACAAGTTCCAGAATCTTTCCAGCCCAAACTATAATAACCCCCAGCTGAGCACAGGACATCTGGCCGGGGGGGGGAGAGAGAGATGCAGGGGAAGAGGAGGCCAGGCCATTCCAAACTCTAGCAGTTTTTAGTTTATAGAAATTAACCAGCAATCCAATTCCCACTGCAGGGATGAAATGCCTTGAATAAGGGGGGAGGGGAGGGGAGGTTTTCATCCTAACATGAAAATCTCGCTGCTGATAGTTTGTCGGGGTAACATTTGCGGCTGAACTATTTTTGTCTCTCTCATTTCTTGCCCAGTTTCTGATGCCTGGCTTGTTCTTTTCCCAGTCTTTGGGCAGAACCAGTTTGCTTGACAGCTTTTGAACTCCTGTCGCTTTGTGATAATGGCCACAATCCAGCGCAGCACGAGGGCACGCTGAGCCCCGTGAGGAGCCCCATCGGGCCACCGTCGGCTTGAAGGCAAAGACTGATGCTGCTGAACATCCCAGCCACACCTCCCTGCAAATGGAAATCCAAGCTCCTGATGCCCAGAGGAGAACAGAGCAGATGGTCCCGCCTGGGAAATGCTTTCTTGCTTTGCACACAGATGAGAAAAGGTACAGGGTAGTAACACCTCCATTCTCACAGCTCAGCCCACTGCTGGCGCCATCACACCATCCACTTCACACCTCTACGTGATTGCATCTCATATGCATTCATTTTCTCTGCTGTGCGCGCTGACTATTAAAAAAAAACAACAAGCTGGTGTTTGTTCTTCTATTCAGCCCTGGTTAGGCTTCATCCAGAGTACTGTGTCCAGTTCTGAGCACCACACTTTAAGAAGGATGCCAACAAACCAGAGCAAGTTCAGAGGAAGTTAACAAGGATGATCAGGGGACTAGAAACCAAGTCCGGTGAGGAAAGACTGGAAGAACTGGGCATGTTTACCCTCGAGAAAAGAAGGAAGAGAAAAGACAGGGTAGCACTTTTCAAACACTTGAAAGATTGTCCTACAGAGGAAGGGCAGGATCCGTTCTTGATCATCCCAAAATGCAGGATGTGTCATAATGGGATCAAGCGAGAGGAAGCCATTACTTAAATTTGTGTACCACTCCCCGTTAGTGCTGAAGCACTGTTTTGGGTGGTTTACAATAATAAACAAAATAAAACCAAAACTATTTAAAAGCAAAAGAACAACGAACCAAATTGACCAGATAGTGCTAAAACTACGGAACAACAAAATGGCGGGCAAAAGGCGATTGACCAGATAGTGCTAAAACTACGGAACAGCAAAATGGCGGGGAAAAGGCGATCAGCTGAATATCAGGAAAAATGTCTTAACTGTTAGAGCAGTACGACAATGGAATCCATGACCTCTGGAGGTGGTGATTGCTCCAATACTGGAGGTCTACAAGAAAAAGTTGAACAGCCATCTGTTAGACCTGCTTTGGTTTGGCTTCTTGCATCAAGCCTGGGGTCAGACTTGATGGCCTTATAGGCCCTTCCAACTCAATTATTGTATGATTCTATTATTCGGTGGTTCTTGTCGTTAAAGATTAAACACATAAATATTAATCTAATTGGAATAAAGACCAACATATGTTGTGACATTTGAAAGCTTTTCCAGAGACTCTTTCCATAAATTCAGTGCTTTACAGTCAACAAGAGTAGAAAAACCAAGGAACCAGCTGTATGAAATATTAAGTAATTTCTTGGTCAGAATGACCTTTCATGTGACTCTAATGTTATACTTCTTGTTCCATAACCATGAGATGAATATTCCATGTGCCATTAGAATAAAAGCAAAGCCCCCCCCCAGGTGGGTGGGAGTGGGAGGAAGGGGATGGGGGTGTGTATGCCCATTGCATGTAGCTGGATCTTCACCTTGAAATCCCATCAGAAAACTGTAGCACCCATTCTGAAAAGCCAATGGTTTTGAAAAATTCATTTAGGAAAACCCAGCTGTGACCATCATACCGTCAAGCATGCCTGGAGAGGCCCCGTTTCAGACCTCACTCAGCATCAAGGCTTATTGATCCATTGCAAGGATCTCACGAAGGTTGAGGAAAGATGCTTGCCTGGAACCATGGCAAGCCACTGAAATTTAGGGTCGACACCACAGGGCTAGCACTGTCTGCTCTGCCTAAGAGACCACCGCCTCCAGTCCCCTGGTCAGGTTTGAGGTCCCCTTGCTTCTTGACCTTTCTGCCCCAGACCATCTCAATTCCCCAGCATGAAGGACACTTGGAGAAAGAATCACGCACCTCTTGTGCAACATCAAGACCGTAGCACCCATCTTACAGGGCGCATTCGAGAGACCGAAGCTGGAGGAATGCAGAGCTGAAATGACGAATTAAAACCAGAAAGAAGCCTCTCACCCTTTTCTCTCTGGCGCTGCCAAATAGACACGGATCCACCTGCGTGGCAGGTACTCACCACGTTGTCAAACATCTCCGCCAGGGCCACGGGCAAGCACGATCTCGATTCTAGGCCCCCCCAACGGGCCAGGCTGCCCAGGATTCCTTCTCTCTCTCTCCCTTCAGCCTACAAAATCCAGCCGTGGTGGTTTCTCCCCCTGAAGGGCTTCCCCGGAGGCTGCGGAGGCTGCCTCGCGAAAGGATGCCGATGAAGGAGCTGTGCTACGGAGGGGCGGCCCACCGCCTTTGTCCTCCAGGAAGCATCCCTGTCAAAAGGAAGCATCTCCTATGCCAAGTTTTACCTTTGAACCGTTATCCCTCCTCTGTGTCGGGCAGCGTGCCAGCCTACGGCTGTGGGTCTCCATGGCAACCGAACCCAGAGTGTCCCCCCCACCTTACCCTCCATCTCTCTTGCTGGCCTTATAGGCCTCTCTCTCTCTCTCTCTCTCACACACACACACACACACACACAGAGAGAGAGAGAGAGAGAGAGAGAGTGGAAAAGGCCAAAAGGGGTCCAAAGAGTCAACGAGAAAGGAAAGAAAGCAGAACTGGAAAGGACGAAGAGGCTCCCTGCCAGTTTTTATTGACTGCTTTGGGGTCGTTTTTCTAGGTTTGGGGGCTTCTTGCAAACCCCCCCCCCCATCCTGCTTCTGAATGCTTTCAGGAGGGGAATAAAAAGCATATCCTCCATTCCCCAGAGAAGACTGGGCATTGATTGATTCCTTCTTATCAGTGTGCTTGTCCAGGGTGTTGTGGAAATATGCCTATGGCCACATTCAGTGTCGGTCATAATGGTTGCTTCACCGAAGGACACAAAAATCTTGGAGCCCGTGTGTGCTGCTGTGGCAACCTCAGACAGCAGCTAAATCCATCGTGATCTGTTCCGATCGGATTAAAAAATGAAAGCTGGCCTTAATCTCTGCCCTCACCTAAAAGCTCCGTTCAGCTTCTCTAATTTGACCGATGCGCCACGTGAATAAACAACCATGTCTTGGCCTCTGTTGTCTGTTTCTCAAGGAACTTTGCAACCCACATGTTTCTAGACTACAGCTCCCATCAGCACATCAGCAGGAAAAAGGCGACTGAGCCAATGATGTGGGATGCTGAGAGTATCAGGCTCACAACATCTGGAAAAGGCTGCAATTTGCCTTTGGGAGGTGACAAAATCTCATTAAATGCCTCATTCTTGGCAGTCATCTCGATTTTGTCATGCAGAGAAATCCACGGAGATGTCCTTGGCCAGGCAGGATTTCTGAGCATCTCTGCAAGAAGGTATTCGCTCATTTTTCTCTTTTTTGCTTGCTGAAATTCAGCTCCTGTTCAGGACTTGCCAAGTCCTATGCAGGACTTGCTAATTCCTGCACTGGTTTTGCTAATTCCTGCACAAGATTGAGCAGATTCTCCATAGAAATTGCCAGTTCCTCAGCAGGATAGGTGTTTTCAGTTCCTACACACTTTCAGAGATGCTCTCAAGAATTTTACATATGTCAGCAAGATTTCCTATGACATATTTTTCTTCAAAAATCTGGTTATGGGCAAATCTCAAGGAGAGGAAAAGAAGAAAAATAAAATGGATTTCCCCATCTGTGTTTCTCGGGTAGAAAAGAAGCAGTGAGATTCACCACCACCTCCAACTTTACCTACAGTTGGCCTACAGACCTGTCACAAACTGAATGGTGTTTCTTTACCAGCAATCCAGTTTTCTTTTTCCTTGTTGCTTTTGTGACTTGGCAAAGAGCAGAAAACACTGGATGTGTTTTGCTTTTTTAATTTAGTCTTGAGATTTCAAGACAATCTTGAGTTTTGCCTGTCCTCATTTTGTAGATAAGGATTCAGCTGAGCGGTGAGGTGAAGCCATGAATGCTCCACAAATGGCGAGCTCCATGGACAGACCCGGCTGATTTTGGAGACGCAGATCCAGACCCTGGTTTTGCTTCGCAGAAGGAACACACCCTCCTTTTCTAGGCATCAACCTATACATCGCATCCATCACCAAGCCTTAATTCACCATCCAAAGTTCAACAAATTAACACTGAAGCTACTTTCTGAGTGAGGACACACAGGCTCAGATCTCAGAAACGATCCTTCTTCAAGTACAGTGGTGCTGAGACGCAGATCCAGACCCTGGTTTTGCTTCGCAGAAGGAACACACCCTCCTTTTCTAGGCATCAACCTATACATCGCATCCATCACCAAGCCTTAATTCACCATCCAAAGTTCAACAAATTAACACTGAAGCTACTTTCTGAGTGAGGACACACAGGCTCAGATCTCAGAAACGTTCCTTCTTCAAGTACAGTGGTGCCTCACTAGACCGTACCCCCGCATGACAGTTTTTTCGCTAGACATTGGCTTTTTGCGATTGCTATAGCGATTTGCAAAACAGTGATTCCTATGGGGGAATTTCGCTGGACAATGTTTGGTCCCTGCTTCGCAAACCGATTTTGGCTAGACAGTGATTTTGATAGCTCCCTCCGCGCTCGCAAACAGGTGTTTTCGGGACCTAAGCTTCGCAAGACAGAGATTTAAACAGCTGATCAGCGGTTCGCAAAGCGGCTTTCCTATGGCCGATCTTCGCTAGACAATGATGATTCTTCCCCATTGGAACACATTAAACAGGTTTCAATGCATTCCAATGAGGAAATGCTTTTTGCTAGACGATGATTTCGCTAAGCAGCGATTTCAGTGGAACAGATTATCATCGTCTAGTGAGGCACCACTGTAACTGACTTTCCAGGGCAGCCTGCCTTTCTTTCTGCCTTCTCAGTGGTTTTTTTAAAAAAGCAAATGCAATCCATTTCAATTCAGACCTCTTTTCAACCCAATCATGGCTCATTTGTAAATAAGATGAAAGGACAATAATCTCACATATTACCAGGATGTCACATGAAGAGCACGTCTCATCTGCTAAATGCATTTGAGAGAGAGAGAGAGCATTCTTCAAAAAACTGCAATTAAATATCCATTCGTACCTAATAGGAGTTGGCTCATCATCTTTATGAAACTGCACAGTCAAAAAAACATTGAAAGACAACCCCCCATTAGGTAACTAAAATACTCCTTCATGCCATTAAACTAACTGCTCCTCTGGGGATGGATTCTAATTAAAACTTCATGCCAGTCCTGGAAATTTTTCTCTGCAATGATGTGAATAGACAGANGGGGAGTTCATTTCAGCTTTTGTTTTGCATCGTGCCGTTTGGATTCTGGTTTACGCACTTTATTTTTATGACATTTGTTGTTTTCTCTGTGTTTGATCATTTAATGTTGTACCCTTGACGGATCATGAAAGGGGAAATAAATGAAATCTAGTGGGCACAAGCCATCTTGTGGTGAAGTCCATCCTGGGATTTAGCAGATCTCCCTTTCTAGAAATTCCTAGGTGGACCAAAGATCACCCCCATCCTCATAGGTCTTCCTGTTTTGGACAATGGACACATCTCCTGTTTTTTCTGCCCTGCGGTTTATACCCTTGAAATGTTTACTCCATTGAGCAGAGACCTTACAGACTGGTCCCATCTGAAGTTTTCTGGGTGAAAACATCTAATAGTACTCTCTCGCGCTCTTTGACAACTGTGCCTAGATTATGGCATTTTTTTGTCCAATGGACATCCGGTGGTCTACCACGATGCTCATGTACAGTTCAAAGTTGTTTGTTTGATGAAGGAGCCTTTCTATCGGGCTTTACTCCAAATAAAACTGGTCTGGCTTGACTCTTTTGCGGTTTCCTATTAATTCCTAGTCATTCCCCCTTGTCTCTTGTGGTTGCCTTCTAGAGTTCTTTTATTTCTGTTTTAAAGAGCTTAGAGTCCTTGGGAGACACGTCGGATGTTTTTCAATAGGGCAATAGGACATGCATAACTCAATAAATGAATAATCTAGTATTTACTGCCACTGGACCTCTGCAGTTAACGTGTGTATTCATCGCTCAGTTTTTGAACGGATACTCCAGCAACTGGCAAGCAACCTGTGAATTTGCAGTGGATATTTTCACCACATCTGAGAGATGTTAAGAAATCCCAATCCAACCCAAATGTTCAGTTGGGTGTCAAAAAAATCAAGTTAACTAATGATGAAGAGTTCCTTCCTCTGTATTATTTTCACTCTGTTGACATGAACTGTGTGGGGCAATGATAAATTTGGAAGGATCTTCTCATACCACCGCCCGCTGTTGTAATCAGATGTCTTTCAACAGTAGAGGAATTCTTCCTTCTAATGATGGACTATCTGTAATGTATAATTTGACACTGAATCCCTCACTATGTCCTATAACTTCCATAGCAGAGAAATCAACATGAAGGGTGTGCCAAATGAAATTAAATCAGCCCTTGTCAATCTAGCGCCCATCAGATGTGTCACACTGCATTGCCCACCAGAGGCCATGCTTGGTGGAGATGGAGGATGCTGTTAAGGAATGAAAAATGTCAAGAAATTAGAGAGCTCTCTTTCACTGTGTTCATTTCTCAGCAGTCTTGGCTGGGAGGTTTTTGCTGCTGGCCATCCAGTGCTGATTTCTTTGGCTGGTTCTCTCTCATGCAATGCTAGCTAGCTTCAGTGCCAACACTGGTGATGTGCTCATCTGGACTGCTTCTCCTCCTAGCCTGCTTCTCCCCATCGTTAGACAGCGTGAGAAAACATAATTCAGGAATGGGGGACATTAAAGGCGACGGCTGCCATCTCAGCAACCATCACCTACTAAAGGGGACCAGCATGTCCCTTGATACTTCAGCTGAGAAGCAAAATGGAGGCCAACATGAGATGGATCAGATGCAGCTGGGAAAGAGATACATGGAGCACACCCTTTACGGGGAAACTCTCTCTGCAAAGTAGCCCCTGAGTTAGCTGGATTATTGAAGGGTCAAACTGAGGGAGGACGAGAGAACTGACTGCTACTCTAACCCCAAAACGAGCAATTGTTTATTCCATACCTAAAGTCTTCCCACTGTACATTTCACTATCTACAGGGAGGTGGTAACTCACTGGTTTAGTTCTCTGGCTGCAGAGGTAGAGGTTGGGGGGTTCGATTTCCCCCTGGGCTTTCTTGACAATGGCTGGACTTGAAGATCTATAGGGTCCCTTCTAGCTCTGCAGTTGTAAGAAGATTATGATGATTAAAGAGAGCAAATCCACACTGTAACATTGCCTAAAATCTCACTGCAGAGCCAGTGGCTGGGGGGTTCAATTCCCCACCATGCCTCCTTGACAGAGGCTGGACTTGATGACCGATAGGGTCCCTTCCACCTTGGCACTTCTAAAATTAAAACAGTAAAGCCAGAGATCCTTAAATGTGCCTACTCCCATTCATGGGTTCTTTCCCCCCTTAATGGAGGTCTTTCTAATACCTAGGTAATAAAGCAGAAGGTTCAAGAGCTCAAGACCATGAGATACGTCAATCAGGACTACCTCAAACCTGGAATGCTAGCTTGGCCTTATTGGGCTTCAGACTTCCCGGCCAGCTGGAAAGCTAATGAACAAATTACTCCATTCATCCTCCCAGTGCCCTTATTTGCACAATGAGTGTTTGTTTGTTTTTCAAAGCTTACAACATTGTCACAAGGCTACTCTGTGTGAAGGAGCTTACAACTCCAGTTTCAACCATGGAGAAAGCAAACCGAGGGGAGGATGGGTGGAAGAGAAGTCGAAGAAGATCAGTTTTAAGCTGAAAAGTTGTTAAAGAAGAGGCTGAACCAACAGCTTCCTGGAAAACTGCACAATGAGTGTTTGTTTGTTTTTCAAAGCTTACAACATTGTCACAAGGCTACTCTGTGTGAAGGAGCTTACAACTCCAGTTTCAACCATGGAGAAAGCAAACCGAGGGGAGGATGGGTGGAAGAGAAGTCGAAGAAGATCAGTTTTAAGCTGAAAAGTTGTTAAAGAAGAGGCTGAACCAACAGCTTCCTGGAAAACAAGGGGGTTTTGAAGAATGATTTTTTTAAGGGATGGAGAAAGCAAACCGAGGGGAGGATGGGTGGAAGAGAAGTCGAAGAAGATCAGTTTTAAGCTGAAAAGTTGTTAAAGAAGAGGCTGAACCAACAGCTTCCTGGAAAACAAGGGGGTTTTGAAGAATGATTTTTTTTTAAGGGAGTGATGATGATACCCTGGAGTCTTCTGTGAGGGCACAACTGGTAGGTAAAGCGAAGAAGAAATGGCAAATTATTGTGGAGGCATTTGGGGACGAAGACAGCATGTCGGGGTGAACAGAATATGACAGGAAAGAAGAGCAGAAGAAGATGGACCTTCATCTATTGAAGCTGGGTTATTACAAGGTGAATAACAATTGTCCTTCAAAGCGGCACCCTCCAAATTATTAAGAGTAATAGCCAATTTCTCAAAAATGTCAGGAGGCGCAGAGTTTGAGCAGACTTTTTTGAGGGGATGAAAAAACGTTTCCAGTTCAGCCGCTGTTCTTTGGCCTTCCATTAAGTGCGAGGCTCTTTTTAATTAGTAATTTCCTTTAATATCCTCTTAGCTTTCGGAAAGCGCTCTTAACCGCCTCGAGACTTAAAGCGATTAGGTGATTTTACAGGGCTCCTCTGAAAAGAATCCCCCAGC